TATTAAATTATTAATTATCTACTTTACATACATATATTATATTACTTATATTCCTTATCTACTTAATCTCTACCTATTATCTACTTATATATTAAAGTATTATATATAAGTGTATTACTCATCTTATAGTAATATACTTATATATTATATACTATAAACATTATATTATATATTAGTTATACAATTATATTAGTTACAATTGAATTCATAGTAATTAGATTCATCGTATTAGTTAATTTTTATATTTTTCATTAAAGTATAAAAGTAGTTAATTGTTACATTTTTCAATAAAGTATAAAACTAGTTAATTGTTACATTTTTCATTAAAGTATAAAACTAGTTAATTGTTACATTTTTCATTGAAGTATAAAAGTAGTTAATTGTTACATTTTTCATTAAAGTATAAAACTAGTTAATTGTTACATTTTTCATTAAAGTATAAAACTAGTTAATTGTTACATTTTTCATTCAAGTATAAAACTAGTTAATTGTTACATTTTTCATTAAAGTATAAAAGTAGTTAATTGTTACATTTTTCATTAAAGTATAAAAGTAGTTAATTGTTACATTTTTCATTAAAGTATAAAACTAGTTAATTGTTACATTTTTCATTAAAGTATAAAACTAGTTAATTGTTACATTTTTCATTCAAGTATAAAACTAGTTAATTGTTACATTTTTCATTCAAGTATAAAACTAGTTAATTGTTACATTTTTCATTTCCCTATTATTTAATTTGTTAATTGTTGCATTCACCATAAAAGTAAAAAACTAGTTAATTATTAATTGTTGCATTAAAGTATAAAACTAGTTAATTATTAATTGTTGCATTAAAGTATAAAACTAGTTAATTGTTACATTTTTCATTAAAGTATAAAACTAGTTAATTGTTACATTTTTCATTCAAGTATAAAACTAGTTAATTGTTACATTTTTCATTAAAGTATAAAAGTAGTTAATTGTTACATTTTTCATTAAAGTATAAAAGTAGTTAATTGTTACATTTTTCATTAAAGTATAAAACTAGTTAATTGTTACATTTTTCATTAAAGTATAAAACTAGTTAATTTTTACATTTTTCATTCAAGTATAAAACTAGTTAATTGTTACAATTTTCATTAAAGTATAAAACTAGTTAATTGTTACATTTTTCATTAAAGTATAAAACTAGTTAATTGTTACATTTTTCATTCAAGTATAAAACTATTTAATTGTTACATTTTTCATTAAAGTATAAAACTAGTTAATTGTTACATTTTTCATTAAAGTATAAAACTAGTTAATTGTTACATTTTTCATTAAAGTATAAAACTAGTTAATTGTTACATTTTTCATTAAAGTATAAAACTAGTTAATTGTTACATTTTTCATTCAAGTATAAAACTAGTTAATTGTTACATTTTTCATTTCCCTATTATTTAATTTGTTAATTGTTGCATTCACCATAAAAGTAAAAAACTAGTTAATTATTAATTGTTGCATTAAAGTATGAACTAATAAAAGTAATTAATTTTATTAGTCGCATTTTATTATTACTATTGTACTCATATTAAAACATTTGATGTCATATAATATTTGTTACATTTTAAAGATGGACCGTGCCAGACATTCCGTAGATGTGGGTAGTCTCCAACGCAACCGAAGGAAGGAGATTGCGACAAGTCATCCTAGTTTACGCAAAGGCAAAGGTAAAGGGCGGGCCGGGTCTTCTTCTCAAAGTCGAGAAGATTTTGATGACGGATACCAAAGGCGAGATGGGGATGCGATGTCCGACGAGCAACTACAACAACTATTGGCGCAAAATGATGGTCGCTTTTTCTAACAACAAAACATCCCGGAGTCCATTGATGAAGAGGAGCTCGAGGATGACGATGCGGAGGAGGACGAGGGGGGCGACGGGACTCACGGCACCCCGGATGATGAGCAAGAGTTGGAGGACGAGGGCGGTCCATCCCAAGTTGGTAAGAAATCTAAATCTCCTATTATAGAAAATAATTTTACAAAAGGAAAGACCCAAAAACTGATAAATGGTACGCAAGTTGCGATCATTGCAAGAAGGAGTATAGCTTGGGAACTTCCCGCGGATACGGGAGCCTCAAAAGGCATCTTAAGTCCGCGCACTCTGTGGAGTATGCGAAAATAGACAAAGGGAAGGGGAAGCAATCTCAAATATCGAGGTTTGCAAATGACCAACCTTTTGGCAATTTCTCATACATTGATGCACAAAATTTGACTGGTATGGCTAACTTACTTGTTGAAGAAAATTTGCCTTATTTGTTTTCTGAAAGTCTTGCTTTTAAAAATTATGCACAAACTTTTTTAAATCCTCAATTTAGAAGTTATAGTCGCAAAACGGTTAAGAAAGAAATTATAAGGCTTTATCGTGCGGAAAAGGATAGGTTACAAAATTTTTTTGCAAACTTTGACGGCCGTGTTACTATTTGTTCTGACATTTGGGAGGATACTTATCATAATTTACATTATTTGGGCCTGACTGCACATTTTATTGATAGTGATTGGAATTTGCATAAACGTGTTCTTGCTTTTCGTGAATTTAATGATCGTCACACCGCTGAACATATTTATATTTTGATTGAATGTATTTTAACTGAGTATAATTTGCTTGATAAGGTGTTTGCTATAGGTTTTGATAATGCTACTCCCTCCGTCCCCTTTTAAATGTCCCGTTTTACCATATTGGGATATCCCTATTTAATTGCCCCATACCTTATTTGGTAAACTTTGTGTGGCTCAAAATCATTCTTACTTTATCAATTAATATCAACCACACAAACTCACTTTTCTTAAAACCCGTGCCACCATCTCCCGTCCCATTTAAAAGGGGACGGAGGGAGTACTAATAATACTGCTGCTATACCTAGATTGCGTGAATTATGTGGTTCTAATACTTTGATGGGTAGATTTTTTCATCAACGATGTGCATGCCATATTATAAATTTATGTGTGCAAGACGGTATAAAAGCGTTAGGAGATGCTATGGAGGTAGTCAAGGGGGGATTAGACGTATTTGGGGCAATGGTCAACTTAAATTAAAATAGCAAAATTATTTGATTGAAAGAGGTGTGAAATATGTTGCTTTCCCTAAAGATTTGTCTATTCGGTGGAATAGTACTTATAAATTAATTAAAGTTCTTCTTAGATATAAAGAACATTTTCCTACTTTTTTAAGACAATATGATAACTATATTTTAAACCCCGCTCACATCGACACTTGCGAAAAAATTGTAATGTTTTAATATATTTTAATAATGCAACTGAAAGTTTTAGTCATGTTTATAAACCTACCTCAAACGAATTTATTCGTGAAGTTGTTAATCTCGCCGGTGCTTTTAATGAATTTGACAATGCCGCTTACGTGAGTTATATTTGTGGTTTTATGAAGGAAAAGTTTTTAAAATATTATGCACATATTCCGCATATTTATAGTATTGCATTTATTCTCGATCCTCGTTATAGACTTGGTAATTTGGAGAATGTTTGAATGTTCTATTATAATGCTTTTTTTTGTCCATTTCCAATGTATGATGATAACGTCATAGATCCGCAAGTTGAATACAACGAGGTTAGTTATTTAGTTTATGCCTTATTTAATGAGTTTCGTGCACAATATGGCAACGCGCCCCCTCCCCCGACACACATCTTCATCTAAAGGAAAATCACTTTTTAAATCTGCTTTTGGCAATCTTATGAAAAAACCTAAAACAACTCACACTACTGAACAAAGCGCACTTAATGAAATTTCTTTGTATATAAATTATGAGGTAGAATTTGACAAAAATGAGGAGTTTGACGTTCTAAAGTAGTGCAAGTCAAAAGAAAGAATGTTCCCGATTTTGGCACGGATGGCTAAGCAAGTGCTATCAATGCCGGTTTTAACAGTTGCCGTGGAACAAGAATTTAGTTCGACCGGCAACGTTCTAACAGCATCTAGAACGAGTTTGAGCGCTGAGTCTCTTAAGACGCTTATATGCTACCGCGATTGGTTAAAGGTCATACGTAGATGTCAAGAAGTTAGCATCACCCCCCTCCCCAGACTTTATGGATGAATCAACAACCGGGGGTGGCTCCTATGCCGGAGATTCCGATTGATTAGTATTTTACAGTTTATTATAAAATGTATTTCATGTTTTAATTTTTCCTTCAATTCTCTATTGTAATTTGTAAAATTGTATTTCATATTTCAAATAAATATACATTCTTTTTTTATGTAGCACTTCTCAAATTAATTAATTAATTAATCGGTTACAAACTTACAACTTACAACTTACTCCGTACAACTTAGAATTTATTGTATTAGTATTTTTGAAAAATGTATTTCATATTTAAGTTGTATTAAAAAGATAAAAAAATATAACCTAGGCCCGACCCGGCGGGTGGCCCGGCCCGAGGCCCGGCGGGTGACCCAGCCCGAACCGGGCGAAGGACAGGCCGGTTCCGGGGCCCCCTTTATAGGACCGGAGGCCCGACCGGGCCTAGGCCTAGCCCAAAGCGAGTCCAGCCCTATTCCCAACTACCATTTGACCGTGATTTTTTAGCTATGAATATCGTGAAAGCTAAGTTGAGCAACCCAATAATTGATGAATAGCTCAATGATAGATTTATTGTTTATGTCACAAAATACATCTTGAAAATTGACAATGTTGTCATTATCAAGCGATATCAATTGATGATAACCCGTGGAAATCAGTTATAAATTTTGTTTTTTTTGTATTTCACATTTGATGAAAACTTTTATTCCTATAATCTATTTTTTTGTTACAATAGATTTTTTTTGGAAAAGTACATTATTTATTGATACAGTATAATTATGCAGCAATTATAATCCATTCAATGTCATACGGAGGTAAGAGGCTTACTAAATACTCGAAGCATGACAAAAACAATGTGCAGAGTTACAACGTGCAGAGTTAATACTAATGATAATCACAAGATCCAAAGTAATGACTTCATCTCTACCCCCCCCCCCCCCCCCCCCCCCCTTCAGGAGTTCTATCCCAAGGGATTCATGGAAGTTAAATAAATACCTTACTTATTGAATCTTTTTTATCGACCCTTGAATTGTAAGTACACAATATCCGTCTCAGATCCAAACCATCATTATTCTTCAACTGAATCTTCGTTATCATCTGTAGCTCTCCCCGCTTTTTACTTACCCAGGCAGCTTGCTCATTGCAGCATTTACCCTTTCATCTGTGATCATCTTGTGGCTATCGTAAAAATCTAATATTTCCATCGCTATGTTTTTTACCTGTTAAATTGGTGGGAGTCAGACTGTATGACAGCTATTAGGCTCCGTATGGTAGCCATTATCTGCGTTATCAACTGGCTGATTTTGGCTCCAATGAATGTTATTAAACCCTTGATATCTTTCAGCCAAGTTACACTTACCAAACAGGCCCTTAATAACTGTTGTATTAAAAGCATATCAATACGTATGAGGATCACGAAAATTAGTTTGAAGGCATTAGGCATACCACATTCATGTCAGCTCGAAGCTCTTCAAACCAGGAAGTGCTGTTTTCTCTGTCTTTCAAAACGCTTGCTATGTATATGCATGCTAATGCTATCAGGTGGGGTGGATGAATAAGAATTAGATCCATCTTATACGTATCATTCACAATTCCCCTGAAAAGTGTGACCCCCACCCCCACCCCCCATTGATCAGGAAATTATTATTAGTAGTTATTACTATTGTGGTTTGACGTCAACACAAACAGCAGATATGATAGAGTAAGCCTAGATGAATAACAGGTTTCGTACCAAGTTAGTTGAGTTGCATCGCTCATCCCAGCATCCTGCAGCAACCTAACAGTACACAAATGACAAGTAGCCTGGGATCAGTATGCATGGAGGCCTTCGGGAGAGGAGGTAAAGGTCAAAGATTCAAGAGGCTGCGTCCACAATTGATAGAGACTCGACCCAAGCAGTAGAAATCAATAGTATATTGATGAAGACCGCAGAGTTACAATGACGGAAATTGTAAGAGAAGAAACAGATAGTTGGGACTCTTTGAGAGGTCCCGCACTCCTCCCGCTCTCCCAGTCCAATTCTAACATATTTCTAGCCTAACTCTTATTCCTTACATAGCTTCTATTTATACTAGGGAAAACTATCAAATAAGCCCCCATACTCTTAAAAAGAAATAAATTAAACCCCCCAACGCAACTATCAACCAATTAAACCCTTGTACTATACAAAAGCATGCAATTCAGCTTTTTTACTGGTAAAGAATGGGTGATTTCCGGTATTGCTGACATGGCACCCATTTATCCCTTTTCATACAAAATATATGATGACATATATGTTACTCCATATGAAATATCAGCAACACTGCAACAGTCCCCCTTCATCTTCCATGGCCAGCAGAAGTGGCAAAACAAGGAAGAAAAAGAAAAGAGGAGGTCAGGAGGCCTGCGATGGGGGGCCGCCGGGCATGAAGGAAAGCATGATTCAAGCTCCATCATCTCCGCCGGACATAACGCAATGCATGTTTCGAGCTCTATCATCGCCGGCGGAGATACTCATGATGGCATGACGCGAAAGAGGAGGCCTCCGACATCCAACTTTCCATGTTCTCATACTATTCATTTCCGCCGTTGATTATGGTGTGTTCCATGGCCGTCGTTTGTACCCGGACCTTCATACCTCCATTAATGGAGTCACCATCTCACCAAGGTGCCTCATACTCCCCAATCTGGAGTTTGAACCCAACCCATCACCCATGCCACTTTGGTTCCCTCCCATGGTCGTTATTTGTATCTTACCTCCCTTAATGGAGATGTTGGAGTCATCACCCCACTAAGCTGCCTCATACGAAACTGAAGGACCCGACCCGCTCTGGTTCACCTTCCGGAAAACGAAGGCCCATGGTTTGGGAAAGTACTGTTGCAATGTTTTGCTCCCAAGCAGATCTGAAACGATGAAGTCTCACACCTATCAAATGGTTGTTGGTTCTCATTTTATTTAATACTGTGAAGAAATTTTAAGAGGAATGCTCAATGGAGAAGAAAAGGGGAAAATTCAAAGTCGAAGTCCGGAACGGTTGAAACAAAAAAGGGAGAAAGGGTGAACTTTACCCGAAACCTGGAGTATACCAGCTAAAAAGCTGATTTGCAAATTTTATACGAGTATGAAGACTTAATTGAATGATAGTTAAGTTGGGGGACATAATTGATTTTTTTTTAAAGTTGGGGGACATTATTTGATAGTTTTCCCTTTATACTACTCTTAATAGTTAATATTACTTTTAATAACACTACTCAACCCGGGTCCCCATCTTATTATTATTATTATTATTATTAATATTAATATTATTATTAATCTGCCCAGGTTCCTATCATCTCCCCCCCCCCCCCCCCCGGACCACCATCTTGTCCTCAAGGTGGGAGGTAGGAACCAATGAAGTAACATTTGTTGCAGTATCTTTCAAGCACTCAATAGCGATAAATGTTTCCTTGTTTTCATGAGGCTCCTCATAATTTGATGTTAACTTTGCACCCTTCTTGATGTGCCTTACTGCAAACAACCCCATGCAAACTTCTTCATTTATTGCATATTCCTTTTGCCTTGCCTCATAGGCATGCATATCAAGCCATTCTTTGAAGTATTCAATGATAACTCACCCTTCAGATATATCGTCCAGACTTTGCAGCCCATACCCCTTGGTGCCACATTTATACCACTCCAAGTTACAATACTTCAGCCTCTGAAACTGTTGGTTTGAACCGTGCTCGCCATAGTTCTCTTGTGTATATAACTTGCTATTCAATTCAACTGCTTGTCTGGGCTCAATCCTTGAATCCACAACCCACTTTCATAGTTTTACTGATTCACCTTTGGGTGCGTCCCCTTCTGCTAGGGCATTTGTGTAACCCATCCTAGTACTCATCTTGCTTATTGCAAGAAAAGCATTCTTGTTGTGGAAAATAGCCTTGTTGATCATTTGAGATGTAGACTAGATAATAAGGAGCAAAAATTCCATCTTCATCCTTGGGGTTCAAAATTACTTGAAATTCAGTAACAGAGTGCATCCCAGAAGTCGATTGTTGATTGTGCACTACTGTTTCAGCCTCTTCATCATTAATAGCAAACTTTCCTCCATACACAACCTCCATCCAGGCTACAAGACCTCCCTGTGAAGACACTACCCCACTTTTGTGCCTCTGGAACAATCCTACTTTTACCCTGGTGTATGATTCTGACAAGAGGTATATCAGATGAGTCAACCTTAAGTAAATGCTAAATATTTGATTCCAGTGACCACCATAACCCACTCCTTATGTCCATCTCCTCCAGGGCTATATTTTCAGCAAGATCATGCACAATTACATTTCCCTTGGCACCAGATTTTAATTGATGGAAGTTGCTGCAGAGGAAGCTCAGTACATTAAGCTCACTGTTTCCCAAATGCAAGTTTGGTCCATCATGTGAAACCTGTGGATCTAAAATAGGCAAGGATGATGTACTGGCCATCTGCAACAGGTAGTCAAAACCTACACCACCTTCTTGAACTGGTAAACAAACTGCTGGCAATTCCCTAACATCTTCAAAAACGATTGCGGGATCTAGGAAGAGACCAGGAATGCGGTCACTGACAAGCATCAGATACATGAAAGCGTCAACATCATTAGCATATCCAACGTCCTTATAATTCCCAGTAAATCGTACTCCCAACCCATTTTGAACCCACCTCATAGAAGTAACACCAGTGTTGTCAATCCCAGATAGCGGAGCGGAGCGGGCAGCCCCCAAAATGCTATAGCGGTATAGCGGATAGCGGGATGACCGCTATTTGGAGTACTTTCAAATATAATAGATAAGTAACTACTAGAAGCATATGTAATACATACATGTGAAAAAAGAACACTCTTTGCCTTACTGGAAGCATATGTTTTAACTACTGTAAGGTACATCTAAGGTCTGCAAAGAGACTACTGAAACTAGATGGTTCACCCACCTAAATTACTTAGAAATACTATTTAGTTTCATGAGTAAAATATAAGATGCTATTAATAATTTAAACATCTTAAGTCAAAACATTGAGTCAAAAGAAGACTGACTAGACTCCATACGACTTACGAGAAGAAGAAGAAAAATAGACTGCAGGTCTGCAGCAAAGGTTGGAGAAGAAGATGTTGCAGAGGAAGGTAGTCAGATACTACTGAAGGCAGAGGAGGGCAGCATCTGTCATTCTTGGAGAAGAAGCAATCGCAGAGCAGCAGAAATAGATGATGGTTGTTCGGGGAGAAGAAGCCATCGCAGAGGTGCAACTGACTATTTTCAAAAGCTAGCTTCGTTTTGAGCTTTTAGTAGCGTTTAACGTACGTGTAAGGGTTTTAACTAGGTTAATACGATAGTATTTTGTTTTAAAAGTCTAATTTACCCCTTCTTTGTCTGCGCTAAAAAATTTAACGCTAAAATCCCTCCCAGAAGGCTCATATTCTGTGCAATACTCTGTACCATAAGACGCGCCGCGTTAGCGGCCGCTATTTTCTCTCCCGCACCTGCGCTATAGCGGGCGCTATGGACGCAACACACAAACGCCACGCTAGAGCCCTCCATGTAGCGCCTACCCCGTCTGCCGCACCGCTATTCCGCTATAGCGCGCTATTGCGCCGCTATTGACATCACTGAGTAACACCATCAAATTTGAAACCCTCCCGCTTATTCAGCCCTTCCAAAATTCCCCTTGATGAATGACTGTGCACAATATTCATTAGGACACCCAACTTCAGCTCATGAACTCCCCCAATCACAAATTTAAAATATTCTGTGTGTCGGTCTAGTGCACTAGCACACCTCCGAGTATCATATTTCATGAGTAAGGATATGTGCGGGAGACCAGCCCTGTTTATCCTCTCCTAGTGATAAAAACACTTCCCAAGAATAAATCACAATGCCACAGTTCTCTAACTCATCCTTCTGTTCTGGTGTCACTTTCCCAAAGCTGAAAACCTTTTTAAAGTACTGTGAGGCCTTTGGAACGGTTTCTAGAAGCAGAACATAGAAGAAGCGCTGAGGATTACCAGTTTTCCATTGCAGCAGAAATCAATAGTATATTGATGAAGATTGCAGAGTTACAATGGCGGAAATTGTAAGAGAAGAAACAGATAATTGGGACTCTTCGAGAGGTCCCGCTCTCCCAGCCCAATTCCAACAGAATTCTAGCCTAACTCTTATTCCTTACATAGCTTCTATTTATACTACTCTTAATAGTTAATACTTCCTCCGTATTTTTTTGTTTGCAACAATAGGTGTTGGCACATTTCTTAAGAGTGAAATAGTAGGGGTAATGAATAGGGTAGAAAAAGTTGGAGAGATGGTGGAAAAGTATGCCAAATAAAACTCCTTTACAAAGTATTCCTTACTGTGTTAGCGAACTGTATGGATGGAACACAACCAAGTAATAGTTGAGGGCTTCCAAAATTTTCATCTCCATTTCTAAAATGTCTTTTATTTCAAATCTGTACTTCTCATCCGAATCTGAAAAGGTGAAATAAAATTATTATCATATATGGACCAAAAAGGGACCACAAAGTGTATATTTGAGTGTATGATTATCAATTATCATTTTTACATATTTTCTTGGTATAAAAAACGAACAGCCTAGCTTGCGTTGTGCTCTCTTCTGCCTTCGATGCCAAGTATAAGCAGGCTGGAGCAACCAGACGAGGATCATATTCTGTCATACTTTTTCTGAGAGCAGCAAAAGAAATTGTGTACTGATTGTAGCTCTAAAATCTTTGAGATGTAATTTATTCTGAAGGTAAACGAAGTCAATATCTTTTGCAACATAAAATTATTCTGTATAGATTTTTTAAAATAGAACAATTAGATATAACCACCAACAGAAACAAAAAATAAAATAAAATAAAATAAAGGGAAAAGTGTCAAATAAGCCCCCATACTATTTCGAAAATGTCAATTAAGTCTGTGAATGCAATTATCACTCAATTAAACCCACAAACGCATAAAAAAAGTTTCAAAACGGCTTTTTAGCCTGTAAGCTCCCGGTTCCAGGTAAAGTGCGTCTCTAGCCTATGACGTGGCTTTAAATTTTTTTATCCTAGTCAATGTTGATTTGTTCCCCCTTTTTGTGTTTCAATCATCCCAGCTTTGAAATTCCCCCCTTTCTTCCTCAACCCTCTTCTAAAATTTCTTCAATGTATTGGATAAAATGAGAATCAGCAACCATTTGATAGGTGTGATAAACTTCAAAAGCTGGTAACCTCCTACTCATTGTTTCAGATATGCTTGGGAGCAAGAAATTGCAACAGTAACTTTCCCAAACCAAGGACCTTTGATTTCCATATATGAGGCAGCTTGTCAAGACTGAGGGTGAACTAGAGTGGGTATTTCCGGCAGCGATGGTTCCAAAGGGTAAACCAAAATAGGTCATGTCCTTCAGTCTCGTATGAGGCAGCTTGGTGCGGTGATGAATCCATTAATGGAGGCATAATACACACAATGACCATGGAGGGGGAACCAAAGTGGATCGGGTTCGAACTCCAGATCGGGGAGTATGAGGCACCTTGGTGAGATGGTAACTCCATTAATGAAAGTATGAAGGTCCGGGTACAAAGGACGTCCATGGAACACACCATAACTGATAATCGACGGCGGCAATAATGAATAGTATGAGAACACAGATAGTCAAATGTCGGAGTCCTCCTCTTTCCCGACATGGGTATTTCTGGCTGCGATGATGGAGCTTGAAACATGCCTTCCTTCATGCCCGGCGGCGGCCCCCACAGGAGGTCTCCCTCTTATTCTTTTTCTTCCCTGTTTTGCCACTTCTGTCAACCGTGAGTGTTGCTGATATGTCTTAACATATACGGTGTATGTCATCAATTATTTAGTAGTGATGGATGCCATGTCAGCATAACTGGAATTACCCGCTCTTCACCGGCAAAAAATCTAAATTACATGTTTTTGTGTAGTTGACGGGTTTGATTGGATGATAATTGAGTTGGGAGCCTTAATTGACATTTTCGACATAGTACGACGGCTTATTTGACACTTTTCACTAAAATAAAAAATAGATTGTTCAACACACTACAGAGTACAGACAGGGTATTAATCACAACTTACCTGACATAAACACGTCTCATGTATGTAATGGCAGTAGCCACAACCCTGATAATAACCAAAATGTGAGAGTGGCAAACTTGACTAAAGTGAAAAGCTAACTAGCAAAGTGTTTGGTCATCGAGTTGTAACTTAGACAAGCTCATATCCAGGGAAAGCACTCTCACAAGTCACAAATAATGGTAGACACATACATTTCTGCTGAAGGGAGCAGCAAACAAAAAAAAAAACAGTTCTGCTGAAGGGATGTTACTCCCTCCATCCAAGAAAAACTTAGCATGTTCAAGGTAGAACTGTGAAAAGCCATGAAAAGATGTTGAATAAAATAATTGTTTAACTATATGCATCATTTGCCCAAAAAAAAACTATATGCATCATATTCAACTTGTTTGTACTTCTTTTGGGGGGAAAATGTTAGTGTAGATGAAATATTAGTTTTGTTTGATTAAATGAGGCTTCTTATTGGGCAAAAAAAATTTAAAATATGACTCTCTTTTTGTAAGACAAAGTTAAGGTTTTAAGGAGTATTAATTTAGAAGTTAGCCAAACTAGATGAAGAAATTAGAAGATTAAATACATTCAACTCAGTCAGATTTAATAAGAGGAAACACTAACCTTTGCCTCACTTTAACATTTTGGGCCAATCTTGAAATGTCTGGAAATAGGGAAAACTGGAAGTCAGAGTATATGGAAGAGTGTAACGTAAAATGTGTTAACATTGCACGTCTTAGAGCAATGTTAACATTGCAGCAAGTCTTAGAGCAATGTTTTTCCATAACATATTGGAAGAAACAATGTGAGAACAATTAGATATAACCACGTCTCATAATGAAATGACTTTCCATAACATATTTTTCCATTTGTTTAGCATTTTCCCTGATCCAAATATACCCTTAAGGTTGTATAAAATCTGGAAATGCTAGGGAAAGAAAATAGAAAAGAAACAAAATGTTGGAGAAATAAATGATAGGTAAAGTGTTAAACTAAATAATACAATTTTGGATATTTCATGATACTCATCTGTTAGGGTTCCAGGGACGACTTGGGGTGGCAGGGTACCCGGTTGAGGTCGTAACCTGCTGGCTAGGGTTACTCTTCTTGCCCGTGCCTGGAAGAGCGCAGGGGGAGGGGAGAGAGAGTCTGTGACTTCTCTGGGAATAATTTCTAATGATCGATGATTTTATTATTGTTGAATGATTTTATTATTGCTGAATAAAGATTATAAATAGGCATCCTGCCTTTACATGACAGAGTTCTAGTCAAACTAAAACTGTAACCTCTAAATCTCTAATACTTCTATTACTAATAGAAAATAATAAATAAATGGGAAAACTGTCAAATAGGTCCTCGAACTTTCATAAAAAAAGTCAATTAAGTCCTTCTATATGAGACTCTGTCGTTTCGATTTGGGGCGGTTCCCGGTGAAATTGTTTTGTGAAATTTTTTGAGCATCTTATTCATCAAGTCTAGTTTACTCATACTAAATTTCAGCTAAAAATTTAATTGGGAGAGCATTCAAATTAATTCGAGAACGCAAAAATGCGCAGTTATCTTCAAGAATTAATTTGAATGTGTCCCCGATTGAATTTTTAGCTGAAATTTGGTATGAGTAAACTAGACTTGGTGAATAAGATGCTCAAACAATTTCATCAAATAATTCCACCGGGAACTACCCCAAATCGCGACGGCCGGACAGAACATCCTATAGAAGGACTTAATTGACCTTTTTATGAAAGTTCGAGGACCTATTTGACCATTTTGACAGTTTTCCCTAAATAAATAATTAAATAAATAAATAAATAAATAAATAAATAAATAAATAAATAAATAAATAAATAAATAAATAAATAAATAAATAAATAAATAAATAAAGGGCCCATAAATAAATAAATTAAATATAAAAACAGCATCAGGACAGATTTCTCTTCCAATTAAACTTCCAGCTGGCCCATATGTTTCCTCCTGCGATAGGGAATTGCACTCCCTCCCTCAAAACTGAGCTTGTCCCCAAGCTCAAATCCTGGATAAGCAGCAATAAAAGTGTCAAACGGCTCCCAAGTTGCCTCCTCAGCTATGTGGCCTTGCCAATGGACTAGCAGCTCCTTCTCACCTCTGTTTAAAGGGAAGTGAAGAACATTGGTTGGTAATGGCAGGGCCTTGCTGTCCTTCAGCGGTGGTAGCAGCCCTGGTGCTGGTGGAACACTGCCTTGATGAGGCTTTAGTAAAGAGACATGAAAAGTGTTGTGTATTTTGCTTCCTGGTGGTAATTCCAACTGATATGCCACAATGCCCACATTTGCTAATATTTTAAATGGCCCATAAAATTTCAGAAGCAGTTTGTGTAGCTTAGAGCAACCTACTGTGAGTTGTCGATACGGTTGTAGTCGCAGCCACACCCAATCACCTACATTAAACTGTAAGTCGCGATGATTATTGACATACGATCTCTTCATGCGCTTTTGGGACAACATAACTGCTCTCTTGCAGTGGTTACGAGCTCATCATGAGTAATGAGTTCCCTATCGACTGCCTCTAGTCGTGTGGAGCCTACGGAATAAGCCAATAACCGAGGTGGTTCTCGGCCATATACCAAGCGAAAGGGTGTTTCTCCTAGTGATGTATGGTAGGAAGTATTGTAACAAAGTTCAATCCACGGTATCCATTGCACCCATTTCGTTGGCTTCTCTCCTGTCATGCATCGCAAGTACATTTCTATAGTGCGATTAACGACCTCAGTTTGTCCATCGGTCTGCGGATGATAAGTGGACGAAAAGGTGAGCTTTGTTCCAGACAGACGAAACAATTCTCTCCAAAATGTACTCATGAAAACCTTGTCACGATTAGAGACTATTGCTTCCGGCAAGACCATGCAAACAGGCAATCTCGTTGAAGAAAATTGTTGCTACTGATGGTGCAGTATATGGATGGGACAAGGGAATGAAGTGAGCGTATTTTGAGAAACGATCCACCATCACGAGCAGGACTGATTTCCCCTTGACTTTTGGCAGCCCTTCAACGAAATCTAATGAGATACTGGCCCAAATTATTTCGGGTACCGGTAATGGCTGCAACAGCCATGCAAGGTGTAGATTTACCCATTTATTTCTCTAACAAACATGGCACAATCTAATCTAATCTCCCACCATTTTTCTCATACCGGGCCAATAAAAATCGTGACGAATACGCTACAAAGTTTTTTCAATGCCTTTGTGCCCCATATCATGCAATTCGAAGATAATCTGAGGAATAATTGGAAAGTCAGAGCCGAGGAAAACCCTCACTTTAAACAGCAGCAACCTTTTTGCAAGCTTCCAGTCCTCTCCTAGTTTCCCTTGTTTGACCTTTTCCTCCATTGCAGACCATTCTGGCGAACCGGTTGCTTCCTTTTTAATTGTTTCGAACAAGATGGTTATCGGAATAGTGATTGTCACACATTCTATCGCAACGTCCTCTCTGCGTGAGAGAGCATCAGCAGCCACATTTAATCTTCTCGGCTTATATAGTTATATGCCACACGAAAATCAAATTCCACCAGCTTACTTAGCTAATGATGTAGCGGACAGGTTGTCAAGCGTGGCTCCAGGAGGTATTTTAAATTGGAGTGATCGGTGCGGACCAAAAATTGGCAACCCCAGAGGTATGGTCTCCAATGAGTAATGGCTTTAGCGAGGTCGATTAACTCTATTTCATAGGCTGCCAACTTTTGATGCCTTTCTGCGAATTTCCTACTGAAAAAGGCAATAGGGTGTCCTTCCTGCTGGAGCACTGCCCCCACCCCGGTCCCGGATGCATCACACTCCACCACAAATTCTTTCTAGAAATCAGGTAATGAAAGCACGGGAGCAGAAGAGAGTAATTCCTTCAGCTTTTCAAATGCATGGTGCGCTTCTCGAGTCCACTCAAATGAGTTTTTCCTTAAAAGAGAAGTTAGGGGGGCTACAATTTCGCCGTAATTCCGTATGAATATTCGGTAATAGCCTGCCGGTCCCAAAAAAAACCTTAGAGTTTTTGTTGAGTGAGGAATTGGTCATGCTTTAACCGAAATCACCTTTGAGCTATCAGCTTCTACCCCCTTTTCATTTATGACATGTCCCAAGTACGAGACTTGGGTTTCTCCAACCATGCATTTGGACTGCTTCAAGAAAAGATTGTTTTGATGAAAAATTTCAATCACAAGCCGCACATGATGAAGATGTTTCACCCATGTTTTACTGTAAACCAAAATATCGTCAAAGAAAACCAAGATGAACTTGCGTAAATAGAGGCGCCAGATGTTGTTCATAAGACTTTGAAAAGTGGATGGTGCATTAGTTAGGCCAAAAGGCATAACTAAGAACTCGAAATGCCCATGATAAGTATGAAATGCAGTCTTCTCCACATCATCGGGGTGCATCCGGATTCGATGATACCCTGATCATAAATCCAATTTGGTGAAATATTTTGCACCGTGAAGTTCATCGAGCAATTCATCTACTACCGGAATAGGATATTTATCCTTGACAGTGTTGTTAAGTTCTCGATAATCAACACAAAACTGCCAAGAATTATCGTGCTTCTTAACAAGTAGAACTGGAGAAGAGAATGGTGATCTGCTTGGCTGGATTAGTCCCTGATTGAGCATCAATTCACATTACCTTTCAATCTCGTCATTTTGGAAGTAAGGGTACCAGTAGGGTCGCACTACGCCACTACCACCGGTCATGTTCTAGGTTTTAGGGCAATCCGTTGATCACACTCTCTCTACGGTGGCAGCCCCTTTGGTTCAGCAAATAAATCTTCATATTCCCTCATTAAGATGTCCAACTAAGTTGTGTTCGGGTCGTTGCTGTGAAGCAGCACCACACGAGGAACAAATGTAGGGTGCTGTCCGCGCCAAATCACTGTCTTGCTCCCCCTTTCGAATTGCATCGTTCTATCTCAGAAGTCCCATAATGCCAAATCACTGTCTTGCTCCCCCTTTCGAATTGCATCGTTCTATCTCAGAAGTCCCATAATATGGGCCCTAGAGTTGCCAACCAGGACACACCTAATATGGCATCAAAACCCTCCAGCAAAATGGTGTAAAAATCTGCACTATATTCCTCTCCATCAACCGGGAAAGAAACTAATTTGCCCCTTGACTTGGAACCCTTTCACCGTTAGCCACTCGCACATGCAACCCCAACTTCCTGAAAATTGGTAACTTCAGAGAAGATATACCACTTCTCTTAAGAAATTATGGCTGCTCCCAGAGTCAATCAATAATGTCAACTCTGTTCCTTCCATTGTTAGGGTCCGGGCCTAATATATAATAAGAATAATGGACTGGGCCTATTAGCATATTAATAAGAATAAAAGTGTATTAGTTTAGTATAAATAGCAGAAGGCAGGGAAGGGTTAGGTAGGCTGTTTAGACATTTTTCAGACTGGGACTTGGGAGATCGAGAGTTACTCTCTTTCTTGGGGGCTTCGGCTCATATTGGGGGCTTTCGCCATTGATTTCTTACTCTCTTTCTGTAATCGATTCTTCCTCATCAATAAAAACTCTTAGTTGTTCTTGATAGATTCTGTGATTTTACTGTTTACCTGGACAGTTTCCTATCAATTGGTATCAGAGCAGTGTTCGATCGCTGAATGAGATATACGCGTTCCAAAATGGAAGCCAGAATGAACGAG